ATATTTAAAAATATTTCTTTCCATTATTTTACTGAAGCATGATGTAATTGAAATTGGTCGGTAATTTAACACATCATTAGATGAGCCATTTTCTTTATAAATAGCATTAACATTTGTTTGTTTCCAACTAAAAGGTATTATACTAGACTCTAGTGTCTTATTGAATAATAACATAAGAGGTAATTTAAGAGAAGCATGAAGCTTGTTCACAATGTTAGGAATAACAGCATCAGAGCCTGGGGGTTTATTAGTGTTGAGTATATTAATTTGATCGGAAACATCTTGTTCAGTGATATGAATGTTTGATAGTGAATGAGGGGCATTGGGTTGTGTTGTTTGGGGTAATTCGAGGTCAGGTGTTGATGTAGAAATATTAGTGAAGTGATTGTTAAGAAGCTCTGCTTTGTCAGTTGGATAATGGATTATTTGGCCGTTGGATTAACGTGGTTGAGTACCCACATTATCATTTAGTGACTTTTCAAGATTTTTCATATAGTTTGCTTTTGCCTCACGGATAAGGTCAATAGTTTCATTTCGTAGGGTTCTAAATTATTCCCAATAATGGGGATTATTTGTTAATTTAGCTTTTCGGTGAATTCTATTTCGTTGTCTCATTTTCAATCTGATTGTATTATTCATCCATGGTTTATCATGTGGGCGCACAGTTATTACTTTTGTAGGAATGAATCTATTGACCTGCTCCGTGGTTGCATTGACTATAGTGCTATTAAAAGTATTAGAATCCCGATTTGAAGACAAATTCAACCAATCAATATCAAATAAGGCATTGTTCATTCTATCAAAGTCTGCTTCTTCATATTTTAAAACAGTTTTTTTATAGCTTACTTTTTTAAATACAGAATAAGAAATTGAAGCATGTACTGAGGAGTGATCATTGCAAAATGATGGAGATACATGAGTATTTTTAACTATGTTTTTGGTTATTAGTAAAGATAATATCAATGGATGTGGCACTGTCAGGTGTTATTCTTGTGGGTTCATTAATAAGACTAAGTAAATTATGTTTGATAAGGAGTCTTGATAAGTGATCATTCAACGGATGATTTAACATATCAATATTGATATCATCTGTCAGTACCACATCCAGTGAAGTATATGTAGCTCTGGTCAACGTATTATCTAATTTATTCCAGTATTCGACATTACTTTCTGGTCTGAAACATCCAAGAAGAAATATATGATTATTAACTAATACTTCTAACCATATATGTTCAACATCATCCTTTTCTAGGTCCATTCGCCTATTCATAACAATAATATCCTTGTGATAAACTATAACCCCCCCCCCCGGACCAGTAGTTCTATCTTTTCTATGAGGATTGGAATTGAAGGAGTGCATCTGAATGTCAAGGTTAGATATTGAAGGGTTTAAATGAGATTCTGTTATACAGACTATACCATTATCCTCAAATTCTGCTTCTACCAAGGCTGTATTGTTTCTGAGAGACCTTACATTCAAATGAACCAAGTTTATATTTTGTATTGGCCCCGGATTACTTTCAATATCACAACACAAAGTTAGCACAACAAAATGTGAAGTCAGAAGAAAACATATGTTATCAAAATATACAGATCTGTAAATTATCACTTATTGTCTGTAGATGATGTAGTCACCTGTTACTCGTTAACTATTCTACACGATGTAACGACACCTTTCATTGATTGATTACGAGGTGTTATTATGCGCGTGTATCATGTAGAAATAATCGACGTTTTTGTGTTATATATAAAGAGAGAGAAAATTTTGGAAAAATATACGCTTCAGCCTCACACTCATACAGGATCTAGCGTTATCAAATCCCTAGTTATATAGTCCGCCATTATACACTAGCACATATCAGAGCGGAAAAGTTAATGTTGGCTCATCGTTTTTCCCCATAATAAAGAATGATGGAAAGAAATTGTCATTGAGTATAAAGAACAATGTAAAATATGATCATTGGTAAAACAGTTTGTTGCAAATGGTGATGTTCTTGTCTGGAAAGTGACATTAGAACACATGATGTTATTGGACACGCATAATCTTGAATAGACCAATAATGATAATAAAAAGGGACCTATGTATTCTCCAAGTACCCATGTTGTGACTATTATCGAGAAAACTGCAAGGAAATGTTTTACATTTCTGATATTTGAAGAATAGTGACAGGTGTATTATTATATTGGATACATCACACCTATGCACAAATCGAACAAGGCTGAATGAAGCTGAAAACAATAGACGTAATATATTATAATTTCATTTTCACGGTGTTCGAAACATCTTCTTGCTCAGGTGAACAGCCTTGTTTGCTTCACGGTAAGTTGTGATTTGTCTTATAGATATACTTGTCTTTATTTTGTGATCAAGTGTCAATTTTCAGCCCAAAACAGCAAAATTTTACCTACCATTTTCTTCAATGGTCATAGTTTACATTGTTTTTCATTCATGACTACCAATTTGCTTCCACCTTTATTTTTGAGTATAAATAACAAATCTTAAAAATAAATTACACACTGACATGAGTTTAGACAATCACAAACAAACAACCGGTACTTCTGAGCTATACACAATAGCACGGCATTTGTTCAATCACATATAATTACTGTAACGTTATATCTAGCTAATTAGATAGGTAAATATATGTCACACATGTGTCTCGGAGAATAAGATTACAACACTCTGTAGTTGAAAGGGGTTTATTTACATACGGCATCGACAATAAAAAACAGAAACAAATGTTATATACACACAAACCGAAAGTAGAACATTGCCACCAAACACACACGCTTATATACGTCAACCTTTTCATGCTATCCCGCACTCTATCGTCAGGGTAATTGTGTAAAATGCGATGCATTACCATCACGAACAACTTGACATACAGTGATGGCCAGCTTGACCAGAAGTTTGTATGTTTTATAGGCGCGAAGTTGAAGCATACAGTGCGTCTTCCGGTCATTTAAGTTTTTCATATAATATGTCGCATTTCGTCTTGTCTCCAAGTCCAATTCATTGTCAAAACATCGACGTCACAGAACACAGGGCACCATTGTCAAGGTCACTTTACTAAGCCATACACGACAGGTAGGTTATACATATGTAATATATCACAAGCCCATGTACAGTGTACTTTGGTTACACACACACATACATACATAATGGTTTGTCTTATCACGTGACTATAAATATGTTAAACTATATGAACCCGTATACTTACCAGGAGGACATGTGGTCCGTCCACAGATTATCATTCTGCCATCCTTTTCTCGTTTTATCTGATAAGCGTAGTCAAACTGTGGTGGCTGTTCCTTACTATCTGATTCGTCATCCCTCGGCAATAAAGCTAGTAGGACTCTGCTTCCCCCAAGAGGGTTGATGCTTTGTTCTAGTTGTCTCTTGTTTGGCTCATCATTGCCCAGTGTTTGAAGTTTGTCGTCCGGTTCAAGAGAAAGGCCATGACGTATACAGCATATCAATACGCTAAACGTCAGTACCTGTATCTGTGGAGTAGGACAGGCCAGTATTATACATAAGTATTTTATATAAAATGAAAAAAACCCTTTTACATTTTTGACCGAACGGATTAATTGTGAAGGGCAGAAGAAGAAATTTAAGAGGTTTAAGAAATATGGTGAATAAAAAGAATCGAAACACGAGTGCCGCCTCTTGTAGTTTTGGGTCATGCTGGTCCAGGAAAATTAAATAAAGATATATGAAGCTATATATATTTGATTCTTTTACATCAGCCACTTACTGGTGATATAAAATAATGCATTATCAAGAGAATAAGCCAATACTTCGCCTTTGTGTTCGTTAGTTACATTAATCGAGCAGTGCCTGTCTCAGGCAGTCAAATTAGTACACTCAAATTAACTTCCTGGAATTGTACACCCGTTAAACTACCCAACCCTTACCCACATGTTGTCAGCGCTGTATTGTGTAACGCTACAAACGTGAGCACTGTCCAACACATACCAATCTGCCGTAACACAAAGGTTTATTTTGAGAACAACGAAATGTGATGTGGGATGATCCGTGTATGGGTGTTTCAAGATTATAAACACATATTTGTAATATTTATTTATAACTTAGAGAAGGAAATGTTTCCATGTAGTTACCTAGTATCCGATTCTTATAGCAAGCCCGACCAAACTCAGGTTTGGTGATTGATGACATCATAGCATATCATGTTCTTTTATCGAATGACAATAAACAACTTATATTTGACCCCTGCTTATTCGTGAAACAGTCTCTTGAACTGAGTAGAGAGAAAATGACTTTTGAGTAGACAAACATATTGTTTACAATTCAAGATTACTGTGTTTGTTTCATCATTTGTTTTGAAATTAATATGATGTATTTACATTTGTAATTTGAACAATAAAAAGCAATTGAATTACCTACGTGCATACCACTGTATTTACTATATAGAAGACAATTTGCCTAGTGTTTTATTCTCATATCACGTACCTGTACTCAAACAAACATGGAACCCTGTCTAGACATATATACGCAGTAGAGGTCTCCCCCCAGTAAACACAAAACAGACATTTGTTGTTGTTATCGATACCGTCATACGATGCAATACACTTGATCAAATCTTAAAACAAATGTAACATTTCACAAACAGAACAATTCATGTTTGTTTTATAAACTTACCAAAGCAGGTAGTCCATACATGTTGGTACAATCTGTTTTATATATAGACTACCCGTAACATCCGGGATTACACATCTATGTATATTCACCTGGTGTATTGCATTGTGAACATTTATAAACCCTAAATTAAAACACAGTTGTGACATCATCCTTTGCTCCGATTTAACATTATGTAAAGGAGACAAACCGAAAACTTTCCATTCAGGCATTCTGCGGGCCTGCGATCAGTCCTTTCTCTCAAAGAATGGGTAGTTTGAGACTTTTTTCTTCAATATAATTCAACAGTGATATGGTGGTCAGCTGGATTATTCCTTGATCAAATATATATATCTCTGGTGTTTCCATGGATTATATTTTACTGTTAAATTCTTATAATATTTAAATGTACATATATCTCTAGTAAAGCCATATGTTGTAAATACATTGTGGATTTGCTTCTAAAGTTTACTGGTGCTCACAACTGTTTTGTTACTTGTAATTGTCTATCATCAGGCCAGATACTGGTGCTCACAACTGTTTTGTTACCTGTAATTGTCCATTATCAGGCCAGATACTGGTGCTCACAACTGTTTTGTTACCTGTAATTGTCCATTATCAGGCCAGATACTGGTGCTCACAACTGTTTTGTTACCTGTAATTGTCCATTATCAGGCCAGATACTGGTGCTCACAACTGTTTTGTTACCTGTAATTGTCCATTATCAGGCCAGATACTGGTGCTCACAACTGTTTTGTTACCTGTAATTGTCCATTATCAGGCCAGATACTGGTGCTCACAACTGTTTTGTTACCTGTAATTGTCCATTATCAGGCCAGATACTGGTGCTCACAACTGTTTTGTTACCTGTAATTGTCCATTATCAGGCCAGATACTGGTGCTCACAACTGTTTTGTTACCTGTAATTGTCCATTATCAGGCCAGATACTGGTGCTCACAACTGTTTTGTTACCTGTAATTGTCCATTATCAGGCCAGATACTGGTGCTCACAACTGTTTTGTTACCTGTAATTGTCCATTATCAGGCCAGATACTGGTGCTCACAACTGTTTTGTTACCTGTAATTGTCCATTATCAGGCCAGATACTGGTGCTCACAACTGTTTTGTTACCTGTAATTGTCCATTATCAGGCCAGATACTGGTGCTCACAACTGTTTTGTTACCTGTAATTGTCCATTATCAGGCCAGATACTGGTGCTCACAACTGTTTTGTTACCTGTAATTGTCCATTATCAGGCCAGATACTGGTGCTCACAACTGTTTTGTTACCTGTAATTGTCCATTATCAGGCCAGATACTGGTGCTCACAACTGTTTTGTTACCTGTAATTGTCCATTATCAGGCCAGATACTGGTGCTCACAACTGTTTTGTTACCTGTAATTGTCCATTATCAGGCCAGATACTGGTGCTCACAACTGTTTTGTTACCTGTAATTGTCCATTATCAGGCCAGATACTGGTGCTCACAACTGTTTTGTTACCTGTAATTGTCCATTATCAGGCCAGATACTGGTGCTCACAACTGTTTTGTTACCTGTAATTGTCCATTATCAGGCCAGATACTGGTGCTCACAACTGTTTTGTTACCTGTAATTGTCCATTATCAGGCCAGATACTGGTGCTCACAACTGTTTTGTTACCTGTAATTGTCCATTATCAGGCCAGATACTGGTGCTCACAACTGTTTTGTTACCTGTAATTGTCCATTATCAGGCCAGATACTGGTGCTCACAACTGTTTTGTTACCTGTAATTGTCCATTATCAGGCCAGATACTGGTGCTCACAACTGTTTTGTTACCTGTAATTGTCCATTATCAGGCCAGATACTGGTGCTCACAACTGTTTTGTTACCTGTAATTGTCCATTATCAGGCCAGATACTGGTGCTCACAACTGTTTTGTTACCTGTAATTGTCCATTATCAGGCCAGATACTGGTGCTCACAACTGTTTTGTTACCTGTAATTGTCCATTATCAGGCCAGATACTGGTGCTCACAACTGTTTTGTTACCTGTAATTGTCCATTATCAGGCCAGATACTGGTGCTCACAACTGTTTTGTTACCTGTAATTGTCCATTATCAGGCCAGATACTGGTGCTCACAACTGTTTTGTTACCTGTAATTGTCCATTATCAGGCCAGATACTGGTGCTCACAACTGTTTTGTTACCTGTAATTGTCCATTATCAGGCCAGATACTGGTGCTCACAACTGTTTTGTTACCTGTAATTGTCCATTATCAGGCCAGATACTGGTGCTCACAACTGTTTTGTTACCTGTAATTGTCCATTATCAGGCCAGATACTGGTGCTCACAACTGTTTTGTTACCTGTAATTGTCCATTATCAGGCCAGATACTGGTGCTCACAACTGTTTTGTTACCTGTAATTGTCCATTATCAGGCCAGATACTGGTGCTCACAACTGTTTTGTTACCTGTAATTGTCCATTATCAGGCCAGATACTGGTGCTCACAACTGTTTTGTTACCTGTAATTGTCCATTATCAGGCCAGATACTGGTGCTCACAACTGTTTTGTTACCTGTAATTGTCCATTATCAGGCCAGATACTGGTGCTCACAACTGTTTTGTTACCTGTAATTGTCCATTATCAGGCCAGATACTGGTGCTCACAACTGTTTTGTTACCTGTAATTGTCCATTATCAGGCCAGATACTGGTGCTCACAACTGTTTTGTTACCTGTAATTGTCCATTATCAGGCCAGATACTGGTGCTCACAACTGTTTTGTTACCTGTAATTGTCCATTATCAGGCCAGATACTGGTGCTCACAACTGTTTTGTTACCTGTAATTGTCCATTATCAGGCCAGATACTGGTGCTCACAACTGTTTTGTTACCTGTAATTGTCCATTATCAGGCCAGAAGCTGTCCATTATGAAACACATTAATGGACAGCTACGGCTTTATACGGCACAACTACAGGTATTTTATTTTACATTCTGCTACATAGACTGTTCGATACACTTAAATGTATACGTGACGTAGACTGAAGCTCCCAAAGTATCGGGAGACTCGTACTATCGTGGAATGGGAATTCGAGTTAATGCTGAATTAGAAGTTACTTTCAAAACGGTACAAATCTATCAGGTGTATTCAAAAACGAATAAGCAGCTTGAGATCAAAAATTAATACAAAGCACCTATTTTTGTCTAGATATCCATACCACAATCAACATCTGCATCAGTACCGTGTTATTAGTATAACGTTTGTCAGCAATGAAAGCTGATACTATCTTAATCCATTTTTAAGACTCTATTACAATGTATATTTTCTGTTCATTTTCCAGTGTCAACGTTACGGATCTGTTTCGGATGTTAACAACATTTTATTGCTGGCCCTGCTAGCTACTCAGCCAAGCAATTGTCCAAACGTATCCCTGCCATTCTTAGTACCTGTACCAGGTAACAGCCGTATTGTGACTGTATACGTCTTCGTTCTCTTATTTTTTTCCTTTTCTGTTTGACAAGCGGAGATATGCATGCATGGTTGCAAACTACATTGTATTTTGGAGCATATTGTGAAAAAAACTCGACAAAGGCCAAGATTAAACATATATTCAGGATGAAAGCGAGAGAATAATTGAGTTCCTGGACCATGGTTGACAATATATTCTATTCATATGGACGGAACGATGTTCCGGCCGACTGTAGGTACATGTACAAGTGTGTCCCTCTTCTGGCCGACATGTGCTTGTTTTCAATAAATATGAATTCAAATCAAAGTGCGGGTATCAAAAAAACTGTACCGAGTCCAACAATTTCTCTTTCAGATATATCGACGATGCGGTATCTTTAAACATATAAAAATCAATTGGTCTCGTTCATCGTATATTAACTCTTCTGAGTTTGACATCAATGACACTACAAACTCTACCAAACAGAGACAGTTCACTACGTAGATGTATAATGATTTGAAAGATTTCTTTTTCCTATTCTTATTTGCCCCTTTATTGATAGTAACATCCCTGCATTCTAAACATACGGTGTTACTATACATTGCATTTGATTCGGTATTCAAGATTTCGGCTGCGGACAAACTTAAACAAAGGGTTAATGCAGGTTATTGACGATTATTAACAAGTTTTCTGGTTGACATCTGATCTGATTGTGAAATATGATAATAATGAGTGATCATTTAAATGAATTATAATAAACATATAAAGGGCAGTTGTAGGTATGTATCAAAAGTAATGTCACACATGTATGTGAATTTCCCTGACGCCGCAGATAACACTCGTTTAATGGTGGATGTATGCATAACAACCCTCGCGCTATCTGTGACGTCATATAATGACCTGTATCGTAATTGTGTGTATATCACCTACACTTATCCAAAATACATCAGTAAAATGTGAACTTTTACTGTACCTATAACGTTAAAACAAGTGCTTCAAATGATGTTCTTTCAGCTTTTGAGAACATAAGTTGAATGAATTATACTCCTAATTAAGACGTCAGTTACCGAGAACATTTTATTGGCTGTGATAAGAGACGTCAGTGCAGTTCCCTTTATTGTGCCCATTAAAAATTGTATTAGCAACAGGTCTTACGAAATGTAATGTTATGTTGTTAAATGTATGATTTACAAGTTATGGGTGAATTTGTTCATCAAGTACAGGCATATTCTTAGACCACACTGGTCCAATTCAGTAAAATTTAACATACGGGTGCCAGTACGTTAAGTAGTATGGCATGATCTATGTCATAAATAAGAACAATTCCGTAATGATACCTTAACTAATGTTAGGTTGTATTGCTCAGTGAATGTCCAAAACCATTACAAATTTATTGTGTAGTGTATATACAAACACACCTTACCCGAATAAAAGCTAATGCATATTTTCATATTTTAAGTTTATTTAAATATCGATTGTCACGTTTGGAAAACAAAAACTTGAATTTATAAACGTAACATTTATAAACTGCGCGTTTGCGTACAAATATGATCATTCATAATTAATATTCTCATGCCTTCGGCATTATTATTGTGTTTTATACTGAACCTGTGCATAATAAGGAATTTATTATGAACCTAAGAATACATTAGATAAAATGACATGATAATGTAATATCACGGAATTAGTTATCTAAGTCCGTGGTAATATATATCATTCTTAGTTTATATTGAATCAATATGGCTTCAAAAATGTTCATCAATTAAAATTTCAAACTCCCTAATTGTTTGAGCATTAACGTCATGCACATGTAAATTGTTCCATACATCTACTACTCTAAATGTGAATGAATACACTCACTGTCCCTCGTTCGATAATCCAGGGGTTACGCCCACCTTTGCTCTCTGCACAGAGCGAAAGTAAGCGTAGCCCCAGGAGTATGAACAAATTCAACACGATCGAAGAGGGATAACTCTATCAGTAGCTGAAACTTCATCCCCGGAAGTCAACATTGTATGATCGCGGCATGAGCCGCTTGTATGACAACAAACCCTTGGCTAATCTGCCCGTGGGTAACGTCCGTGTGGCTAGGGTGTGGTCGGAGGCAGCACTGGCGAGGTAACGCTTTAATATCAATGGCTATAGTGTACTTATTTGGGAGGATGTGGTGTCGTACTTCAGATATGTGATACTGATCCTGACCCTAGTTAATTTAGACAAGCTTATATTACTAATGCACACTGATAATAATGATTGTAATGATCAGTGTTCTCAATTTCAGTGGGGATGGTGTGATTATTGAAGGTGTCCTCAAGGGGCGTGGCAGGGTAGCTGTCACAGACTCTGGGGATACGAAGGTAAACACGATATGATAAATACTTCTCCGTTGTAAATTGCATGCAACTCCTAGCTGAACTTGTTTGTTGAAATTGTTAGTAAAATTGGTACAGTTGTATTTAATATATATTGTTTCTTTACATAGACGTAATGATGATGAAACAGCGACGTACACGAGTATCATGTTTACCCCAAACTTACTTTCCGTTTGTATTCAGCAGGTCCAGTACACTCTGCCGATTGAGCTATATAACTGTAAAGACCTGTATAGCTATATTCACCTATAAATTATAGCTGTATTGAGCTATATTTTCTCAGATTTCAATTTTCATTAAATTAAAGCAAAGTCGCATAAAACAATAAGGTTTATGGTAATGTTGACTACAAAAAGCATACATTTAGATGTTTATTTTCATTTTTCATAAATGTAAAATTTCCGATTTTTTTTTACATCATTATTTTTCCAAAGAATACTTATATTTAATGTCTTTTGTTATCAACATAATGATAAAATCTTCTTTCTAAAGTGACTTTGTTAAAATCTTCTTTCTAAAGCGACTTTGTTTCGTTTTCCTTAAAAAAGAAAATCACATGAAAATAGCTCAAAAGACCTATTTCAGATAGGTCAATAGAGCTATTATAGGTCTTTACAGCTATATAGCTCAATCGGCAGAGTGTACGGGACCTGTTCAGTGGGGCAGGCAGTAATACTATTAACTGAATTACTAGATCTATCCTTTCTCTACAACCATCTTAATAGTGATAACTCTGTCTAATAAATGGCTGTTCAACCACCCTCTAGCACAGATACTACCTACTGTATGTCGACCCTGACCGGGTACACCGACGGAAGTTTGATAGCAGTGGGAATGAAGTGGAGCCAAACTTCAGTGAAACCCAGAAAGTGAGGACGGGCTATCTCAACTCCTCCTACAGTAAGTGAAAACGAGGAACAACTACCCCATTTTGTACTATAGGTAAGATATAGAGGACCAACTACCTCATTTCATACTGTAGATAAGATAGAGAGGAGAAACTACCTCATTTAAAATGTAGATAAGATAGAGAGGACCAACTACCTCATTTCATACTGTAGATAAGAAAGAGAGGGCCAACTACCTTATTTCATACTGTAGATAAGATAGAGAGGAGTAACTACCTCATGTCATACTGTAGATAAGATATAGAGGAGCAACTACCTCATGTCATACTGTAGAGAACATAGAGAGGACCAACTACCTCATGTCATACTGTAGATAAAATAGAGAGGACCAACTTCCTCATGTCATACTGTAGATAACATAGAGAGGAGCAACTACCTCATTTCATACTGGAGATAAGATAGAGAGGAGCAACTACCTCATGTCATACTGTAGAGAACATAGAGAGGACCAACTACCTCATGTCATACTGTAGTTAAGATAGAGAGGAGCAACTACCTCATTTCATACTGTAGATCAGATAGAGAGGACCAACTACCTCATTTCATACTGTTAATAACATAGAGAGGACCAAAAACCTCATTTCATACTGTAGATAAGAAAGAGAGGGCCAACTACCTTATTTGATACTGTAGATAAGATAGAGAGGACCAACTCCCTCATGTCATACTGTAGATAAGATAGAGAGGAGCAACTACCTCACTTCGTACTGTAGATAAAATAGAGAGGACCAACTCCCTCATGTCATACTGTAGATAAGATAGAGAGGACCAATTACCTCATTTCATACTGTAGATAAGATAGATAGTAGCAACTACCTCATTTCATACTGTAGATCAGATAGAGAGGACCAACTACCTCATTTCATACTGTAGATAAAATAGAGAGGACCAACTCCCTCATGTCATACTGTAGATAAGATAGAGGGGAGCAACTACCTCATGTAATACTTTAGATTACATAGAGAGGACCAACTACCTCATGTCATACTGTAGATAAAATATAGAGGACCAACTACCTCATGTCATACTGTAGTTAAGATAGAGAGGAGCAACTACCTCATTTCGTACTGTAGGTAAAATAGAGAGGACCAACTACCTCATGTCATACTGTAGATAAGATATAGAGGAGCAACTACCTCATGTCATACTGTAGAGAACATAGAGAGGACCAACTACCTCATGTCATACTGTAGTTAAGATAGAGAGGAGCAACTACCTCATTTAAAATGTAGATAAGATAGAGAGGACCAACTACCTCATTTCGTACTGTAGATAACATAGAGAGGACCAACTACCTTATTTCATACTGTAGATAAGAAATAGAGGACCAACTACCTCATTTCATACTGTAGATTAGATAGAGAGGACCAACTACCTCATTTCATACTGTTAATAACATAGAGAGGACCAAATACCTCATTTCATACTGTAGATAAGAAATAGAGGTCCAACTACCTTATTTCATACTGTAGATAAGAAATAGAGGACCAACTACCTCATTTCATACTGTTAATAACATAGAGAGGACCAAAAACCTCATTTCATACTGTAGATAAGAAAGAGAGGGCCAACTACCTTATTTCATACTGTAGATAAGATAGAGAGGACCAATTACCTCATTTCATACTGTAGATAAGATAGAGAGGACCAATTACCTCATTTCATACTGTTCATACTGTAGATAAAATAGAGAGGACCAACTACCTCATGTCATACTGTAGTTAAGATAGAGAGGAGCAACTACCTCATTTCGTACTGTAGGTAAAATAGAGAGGACCAACTACCTCATGTCATACTGTAGTTAAGATAGAGAGGAGCAACTACCTCATTTAAAATGTAGATAAGATAGAGAGGACCAACTACCTCATGTCATACTGTAGTTAAGATAGAGAGGAGCAACTACCTCATTTAAAATGTAGATAAGATAGAGAGGACCAACTACCTCATTTCATACTGTTAATAACATAGAGAGGACCAAATGCCTCATTTCATACTGTAGATAAGAAAGAGAGGGCCAACTACCTTATTTGATACTGTAGATAAGATAGAGAGGACCAACTCCCTCATGTCATACTGTAGATAAGATAGAGGGGAGCAACTACCTCATTTCGTACTGTAGATTATATAGAGAGGACCAACTACCTCATTTCATACTGTTAATAACATAGAGAGGACCAAATACCTCATTTCATACTGTAGATAAGAAAGAGAGGGCCAACTACCTTATTTCATACTGTAGATAAGATAGAGAGGACCAACTACCTCATTTCATACTGTTAATAACATAGAGAGGACCAAATACCTCATTTCATACTGTAGATAAGAAATAGAGGTCCAACTACCTTATTTCATACTGTAGATAAGAAATAGAGGACCAACTACCTCATTTCATACTGTAGATAAAATAGAGAGGAGCAACTACCTCATTTCGTACTGTAGATCAGATAGAGAGGACCAACTACCTCATTTCGTACTGTAGATAAGATAGAGAGGAGCAACTACCTCATGTCATACTGTAGATAACATAGAGAGGAGCAACTACCTCATGTCATACTGTAGATAACATAGAGAGGACCAACTACCTCATTTCATACTGTAGATAAGATAGAGAGGACCAACTACCTCATTTCGTACTGTAGATAACATAGAGAGGACCAACTACTTCATTTCGTACTGTAGATAAAATAGAGAGGACCAACTACCTCATGTCATACTGTAGATAAGATAGAGAGGACCAACTACCTCATTTCGTACTGTAGATAACATAGAGAGGACCAACTACTTCATTTCGTACTGTAGATAAAATAGAGAGGACCAACTACCTCATGTCATACTGTAGATAAGATAGAGAGGACCAACTACCTCATTTCGTACTGTAGATAACATAGAGAGGACCAACTACTTCATTTCGTACTGTAGATAAAATAGAGAGGACCAACTACCTCATGTCATACTGTAGATAAGATAGAGAGGACCAACTACCTCATTTCGTACTGTAGATAACATAGAGAGGACCAACTACTTCATTTCGTACTGTAGATAAAATAGAGAGGACCAACTACCTCATGTCATACTGTAGATAAGATAGAGAGGACCAACTACCTCATTTCGTACTGTAGATAACATAGAGAGGACCAACTACTTCATTTCGTACTGTAGATAAAATAGAGAGGACCAACTACCTCATGTCATACTGTAGATAAGATAGAGAGGACCAACTACCTCATTTCGTACTGTAGATAACATAGAGAGGACCAACTAC